TATGTATATATGTATGTATGTATATATATATATATAACACAGTGTCATATTGGTATATATATATATATATATATACCAATATGATACTGTTATATATATATATATATTATTGTACTATTATAATATTATATTATTGTATTGCTATGTTATATCACATTATTATTAGTATTATTATTATTATTATCACATTATTATTAATATTATTATTAATTTTATTATTATTGTTGTTGTTGTTGTTATGTACTTAGTGTTTGCGTATGTATGAATATTTTATCTCCATATTAAATTATGCTACATGGGCTCATTTTTCATTTTACATGGTAGTTTTTCTGTAAAGATTTATACTGTACTATTGAACTAGATATTCTTAAATTGTTACCTTGATATGGTATAGACAAAAGAACAAACGTAATTGAGCCTGGCGATCCAGCTATCGACTAACAAACATTAGGGTCGTTAATCCAGCCACAGATGCGAGTAAATCGACTACTCGTTATACGTACTGCATGATTGTACGAGCTTGCGGTGTGCCCGGGAGCATAATGCCCTGCCCCACCCTTAGCATCGCCAGCTCTATGCATCTGAGCATTATTGACACCGTACATAACTCGGCTGCCGGAGTTGCTTCGGTTAGATACACACCACTGCCAGAAGTCTCTTTTGTTGTATCCCAGCGGTATCGGAAACTGTCCCTGTCCGCGCGAACTACGTCACCGTAGGAGTTTTGTTGATTTGCCCACTCGTCGCCGTGATCCGAAGGACATCCAGTGACCTGGCCCACGAGCTAGCTCAATCACCGCGTAATCAGCCGACCAACGCCCGTGTTGAGCCCATGTGGTGACTGTTGTAGCCTGCACCCACGGATACGAACCGTAAGGCTCTTTCACGTCGCCGTCATCGTCGTATCCGGGACGAAAGTTGAGGTTTGCGATCCAGTCGCCACCAGGCCCTGAGTGTACGCAATGACCTGCTGTGAGGACGTGTCTGGGTCCAATCAGCGTGCCAGAACAGTGGTTGCCAACTTTTCCCGCGGCGCGAAATGGCCAGCGAGATGCGTCACCAATATCGTTTCTGCTGTCGGCGCCAAAAAATATAGCCGCGTGCACGATCGAGCTCAGCTCCGTCGACCCCATTGTCTATTTGTTCCTTGTCAACGTCCATGCTACGGCGCTTCTTAATGCATTTCTCGTCAGGATAGCATACCTGTAGACCTCTGTAATAATCTTCGTAGCAGCATATATCCGGATGTATTTTCCCTCTGGCGTCGTTGAGTTCACCGCCTTCCGAATCTTTCTAAAAGCAATCTCGGGGCTGTACTTGAACTCCTGAACCCTTCCCGTTGGTGTCACAGGCATAAAGTCGAAATCGACGGCGAAGTCACCGTCGCTCGGTTCCTGCTCGGTGGTGAAAAGCGGATCAAATTGTTTCCTTTTACAATCTCCAGGCGCGTCCGAATACATAAGGATGAACTTGGTCGTGGGTAAGTCGTGGACCTTCACCAGGCCTTCAAATTCGGGGTTGTATTTTGGGGTTAGAGGGTTTGAAAGCTTGGTCTGTTGGGGCAACAAGGACACGGCTTTTTTGTCCATTAGTCCATAGACAGCAATATCTTGAGGGAACTCATCCATTCTACGCCGAATATCAGTGCTGGCCGAAGTTACGAGATTGGAGAAGTAAGCTAATGTCAAAAAGCAATGCTTAGCCGCATGGTTCTTGAATGAGAACATATTTCAACAGATGTAGATTGTGTTAAAGTGTTTTTCAACTTATCTTTCCCAGCGTCCCACGTTCCTCTTTTATACCCTAGTATTGGAGACACGTCGGCCTGAATACATGTGTTATTGAAGTAACTTTAGAGTGTAGTTAGATTAGGACACTATACGTCGTTCATCGGAATAGCATGCCAGTGTTGCACATACGAGAAGGTGTGTTAGATTCGACGGCGCATCTAATACAAATGTGCCATTGCGCTGCAAATGTGATCACCATTTCTCTTGTGCATGTGAGTCTGGTGGGGACCTTTGCGACTGAGCTGAAAAGCGACGTAAATGTTGGCAATCCCTTGAGGTTCGATGAGTATTTTGGAGATAAAATTCGTTCGTGCTATTTATTTTTACACTTGTGAACTTGTGATGAGTCTGACTCTGATGAGTGATGTCATGAAAACCGAGAGTGATGATATATATCAATTCCAAACTATTTTTAAAAACAAAAACAATTGGTTACATACATATTTATGACTATTTATCTACATATTTGTGTTTTTGGCTTTTTTTAGAAGACAGCTTCTTTTGTTGTTTTTTTCTACAAATGAAGTACAGGCACTTACATATTTAAATATTAAATTTTTCAATTTTTGGGTAATTTATTTTTATAAATTGTTTTTATTTATTTAGGTCCTTTGGTTTATTGAGGGCTATGTTTATATTTTATTTATTATTATTTTATTTATTTCTCTCGACAAAACATATATTAAATAATTAATAAATAGACTATCTGACTAATAGACTCATCGAGTGATTGGAGTCATCATGTAAATATGTAAATACTAAAATAGTCATCTTTTCGATATTTTCCATCTGTTCCAGAGTCCAGACTTCAGTTCCAGTTCTGTATATAAGCGTTAACTTTTCATCGTTTATTGGATTATTTTGGCATATAATATGTATATAGTGACCTGAACAGTCCACCTATTAGTTTTCAATTTCTGAATGTGTCGTCAGGACAAAATGTTGGTAGATATATGCCTATCAAAATGGCCCTACAAATATTAACGTGACACTGAAATGGAAGTATACGTTTGATTATCAACGTTTAACGGATCGTTTATTTGCGTTGCAACATAACGATTTGAGGTTTAGTCGAGAACTTGATGCGACTATTTACATATCTGATATCAGTTATCACGTACAGATAAATATGTACAAGTAGATAAATATTTTATTTCTAAAAAAACAACAACAACTAAAAGTAGCAATACAAGGGTGAAGATTCAGATATGCACTCCATATATAGTGGCATAGTCCGGTGACTCCGTGAGTCCGTGACCCTTGTTGAGTAAAATGGAATTTCAGAATTCACACATATTCCTAGCCAAATAAGGTATATATTTCAATATAGATCAAACAGCCAGTAGGTTGGATTAGCCACACACCACTCAAATGCTGCGCAAGACGGAAGCAGAAGTGGATTTTTGTGGTTTCAGTTGTTGTGACATTCTTTGACTGAAGCCAACAAACTTCAAGAGTAGTTCATTTTTTTTACGATTCAAGGGCAGAGTGACAGTAGCTATGTATAGCGTGGTAAATACATTCAAAACGTTGTCCTTGCTTTCCTATGTATTTATTGTAAAATGTTTATTTATATGACTCATTCAAAGTCAATATATAGTCATCTACTATGTCAACATAATTTGTAATTCGTTATCCCGGGAATTTAAAGATTCTCAGCAATTCCTAGCCAAATAATGTATAGATTCAAACTTAGATCTGTACAACGCTTAAAAACAACCTCTGAGCTTGTAAGCAACATACCACACAAATGCTGCGACAGGTCAGCCTTGTAGTTGCAGTTGTTTTGACTTTTTTAATCACTGAAGGCAAAATATCTTTGAGAATAGTTTGAATTCTTACGATTCAAAAGGCAGAGGACAGTATGTCTTGTATACTTTAATATTAAATACTTCAATCACTGTGTATGTAAGATTTGTGCTTAATAAGTATTTTGATAGCTTTTCTTGTCCCGTGCTTCCAGGGGGTCATGCAATTGTGATACGATGCTATCCCATGTGAGAAGGTTTGGCAAAATTGGACCACTTGCCATAACCATCTGGAGAAAAGAAATCATTAAAAATCATTGAAGTTTCTACAGGAGGAAAGAAAATTGTTCCTGTCCTGTACATTCAGAGGATCATGCACTTATTGGTATATGCGATATTGTATGGTTTTGCAAAGCTTTCTTATTTGAGGTACGATGATCAACGGTTTTGTATATATGGCGGCCATAATCATTTTTGGGATGCGGGTGTTGCTCCTAGTTGACAAAAGTATGTCAAATCAATGGACAAGATATGATAGTCACAATCGCTACCTTTACAAAACAAAACAAAAAATAGGGCAGGTGAAGTATGATCAATCCAATCTTGATTTTATTTAGTGTTGTCTTTGTTTATTTCTCTTGTATTAAAAACCCTTGAGCCACAGATGGAACATAATGGGTTTAATTTGCGATGGTATATAAAGTTGTATGAACGTACTGCGAGTTTATTACTCTGAGATTCCGTGCTGTTCTGTGTGATAGAGTTATGCGATATGTTGCACAGCAGTGAGAATCAGGTCATTCCCAGAATCACATACTGGGGGTCACAACATTTTTCTTCTTCTATGTATTAAATTACCCAATATCGATTTTGAGAGCAGTTTTGGGCTCTGCGCAACCTATAGATCAATAATATTCGGCTAATTTTTTGGTGCGGACATTGGAAAAAGATTCTTGTTCAGCCAAAATGACGTTTCACAATCCGGAGCTTTTTGAGCGATGTATTGGCTATAACATCCGATCGCACCGGTGAAAACCTAAAAACTCGACGGTTTTGACCTCCATTCCTCAAGGCCTTTTGATCCCAATGTCTAATTCAAAATTTTATGGGTTAGAAATGTTCCTTCCTCTGTAAGCTAAGCCGAAAAGTATATTTTACCTAGTGTAAACATTTGGGCCGGGACACAAAAGCACACTTTTTATCCCTTTTAAAAAGGTATAAACATAGGGCCACCACATGCCCAGAATGTCGTTTTTGGAAACCGATCGGTTTTGGCATTATCATGATCTGCCAAAAGCAACTATTCCATTTTGGAGAAAAAAAATGAACTACTATGTAGTTTTAGAAATATTTAGGAGTGAAAATCAGGATGAACGACCTGGTTCTTTTTTTTTTAAACTTCTTACATACTGCTGTTTAGTGTGCAGTTGTGCACCATAGACGACATCTTTTGTTTTTCTTTTGTTTTTTTTATTAAAAAACAACAAAATAATGTCATACATAAAATAAAGAAAAATATATTTATAAAATGAACACATATTTGTTTTAACGGTTTTGTATACTGATACCTCTGATAAGAAACAGGGCCACCCGGCAATGCCAGCAGATATTTATATCAATATAAATATATATAAATCTCTATGTGCCTGTATATGTACATAAATATTGTATATATAAAAGGCGTACTGTTGCTTTTACCATATGTAATGCACACGCCAATACAAAGCCTGATATCATCCGGAGGTAACAGTAAAGACACTTCTAGTTCAAGTATCGACAGTTGTCTGGATATACTCTACTATTCTTACGGTGCACATCAGCCAAAGTTAATTCAGATCTCATCAGCATCAGATAGGTGCCGCCGTGTGCTATGGATGCTACCAATACAATCTTAGTTTCACCACTTTCAAGCGATCACAGAGTTTAAATAGATACAAAGTGTAGATGGAATCGGCATCACAACACCAAAATTTTCGTCTCAAAATGAGTGAGGAGAAGTTGACAGTCAGCAAATATCAAAAACGCCAAAAAGAATTGGAACATGAGAATTTACAACTGAAAGTAAGTTTGTTCATCACAAGACGATCGACAATCTTTGCATCAGTTTATCCAGCGCTGTAGTACATGCTTAAATATTTTTACATTTAAAGTTACCTCAAGGGTATATGA